TTTGAAAGAGTTTTTAAGTAAAATACGTACAAGTTTTGAACTGACATTTCATCCAAAATTTGTTTCCCCTTACAGAGACTAAGAAGTAATTTGCGTTCTTACGTACACAATTATTTTGACTTTCACGCAAAGAAATATTTTTCTCACCTTACATTTGTTTATCACTGAACAAATAAATTAGTCTTGCATTTTCTTGTGGTTGGAAGCGATTCTAAAAGTTTCACTCTAAATTGGAGCTATGTTTTTTAATACCCTTTTCAAACAGTTGAATCGCATTATCCAGTTTTATCGCCATAAAATTATTTCATCCAGCTCGTGAGGAACCAAATGATCTCCTATGGTCTAAACAGCGATCTGCTAAGCACGCCAACGTGACTTCTTCAACAGACATATGACCTTTCACTACTTTTAGAATTCTCTTTAGAAGACACTTTGATATCATTACAAGATGATGAGTTCGTTGACGATGGTTTAGTTAAACTTGACGACCCACTTCCCGATGTGGGTTCACTTGCACTGGAGAGGGGGTTGCTAGTGCTATCATTTCCACCAACTGCACCATAATCAGATGGATCAGTTTTATTCAAGAGAGGGTTTACAAACTGATTGGTAGAAGACGGTGGATTGTCGTTGGGAGGCTGTGGCCTGACACGTCGCCAAATAATAATAATAATGAAAGGAACAGCAAATAAACAGAAGACACCAGCGACCACAGGAAACACTATGTCTTCGTCGTCTCCTGCTTAAACACAGAGAGATACTGTAATTTATTTCATAACAGAGTAGAATTACTAAGTGAAGAGTGGATGGGTCAGAGGACTTTTTTTCCATTAATATTGGTAATTGCCCGGGTAAAATTACTCGGACTCTAACACCGCTTAGGTCGTTTTTGACCTTCTTAATGAAATAAAAGTTTCCCCTTTATATCATAATTAAAATTAAGGATTCAAATCACTTGTATTCTTTGAAACGTTTCTTGGCCCTATGCAATTGTTTTTACGTATAGACCTCTTTTTTATCGTTCAGCATGTGTCATTAGCAGTTCCACATGGATGACTTTCAAAGGACATTGAAAACTATCAAAATAGATAGCTCTATCAATAAAAATATAGATATATCGATAACATTGATTGAGTGTTTACACGATGTTCATAGGCTTCGGTGCAACTGAAAGAAAAAACCTTATTTTATATTTAGCGTTTCTGGTGCCACTTCTGGCAAAGATTTAAGCTAGATTTATTTTGAGCATATCATTTCTCCTCTTTCCTTAGGAATAATTTCAAAGCTTTCTCAATCTTTTTAAAGATAAATGTTAAAACATTGAGTATCGAACTCTCAGAGAATATGATATCGTCCAATTTTCTTTGCACATTTCAAAAATCTCGTGAAATGCTGCGACATAATGGTTAAATGATTTCACTTACCAGGGGTAGCTGTAGTTTTGGGTTTCCTTGTAGGGTTGATTAGACACATATTCGGGCAGGCACACTTATGGGAGAGACTTAATTCCTGGAGATAAATGCAGTAATAGACAGTTTATTACTCTCTTCGTATTCCTTGT